ATGGCCATACATCTCTTGAAATACCCTACAGTAGCTAGGGTATAATAAATTTTTTGATGCAGTTATTCTTTGGCATGCATATGCTTTGGCGCTCTTTCAGTTCAACTGACACATTTTGGGGCACTGGAAAATTGAGGTTACTTGGGGCGCAAACAAATTGAGGTTCCTACGTGTTGGCGCTCTTATATGACAGGGTTTTGGAACAGCTTGAAACCCAAACCTTGTATTCACAGGTGTAAGTAACATGTAGCTAGGTTGACTCAGGCACCGGTGCGAAAACAGGTGTGGCACCTGAATCAAAGAAAGACTCAAAAGTGTGCAATGTTGAATCACTCCTTCCACAACTCTCCATGCTGTTGTCAATGACGCCCATGAAACTCTCTTTGACTTCAGTACAAGTCCAACCTCATATCCCAGGATCTTGGTTGTCTTCATTACCTGAGCCACATTTGTGTGGAAATTCCATTATCCATTCATTGAACCTGTTGGGCCCACCCATTTGAAACGAAGACTTTGTAGGGCCCATGCATTGAATTGAAGACAGTAAGTACTGCCAGATATGTCGCCCACCTGATGGCACAACAACGGCTTTGGCGCAAAGCTCGTCACCTATATTTGGTGGGCGAGCACCAGTTGGGCCCAGCCATCACTAATGGACAATTTGTCGATGGGCATGGGTCTGCAGTGAAGTCATTTCGAATGAGTGCGCCCATTAATGGCAGGTGCAAGCGCCCATTATTGGCAGGTGCGCACCTGTTCGGCCAGCCATCACTATGGAGGATATGTTGATAGGTGGGCCAAGTCTGCTGGCCCCACATGGTATGAGGTATTGTCAGGTTCGGTTAGTCCATTAGGTAAGGGCTAGGGTCACTGTCATATGTGCCCAATTGCAAAACTCGGATAAGCCAGACTTGCCAACAGACTTAGATCTGCCAACATTAAAATATGTTCTATTCAATAAAAATTACAAGTCACTCACCTATATTCCAGTATCATCTACATTGCATTTGGTAGGAAATAGATTTGCAAAACTGGGTTTGTGAGGCATCTTGGACAAAGCAATGAAAATGATGATGTCATCTTACCATATATGGACATGTGCCTGATTAAGTAGGTAGGTAGGGAGGTCAAGCCAGTAAGGGCTTTAAAAAAAAATTTGACCCCAGGTCTATTTTTTAATCCTAGGACCCCCTTGCAAATTACCCGATCTTCTCCAACGATCACTTCATCAGTCACATCTCATCTAGATCGGTGAGACCCCCTCATACGGGTGCCTCGCTGAAGAGGTGCTTTTGCAAAATTGAAGGCATGGAAGGCCCAGAGAAGAGCAGTTTGTACCCATCGCTGTCAGAAAAGAAGCCTTTGGACGACTCTGCTCGTCTTGCGCTCAGAGGGAACTCTGGGCCAGGATTGTCTGAGGCTGATCAAAGGCTGATCCGGTAGTTTTTGTTATTGAAAAAAGCGCCGCTGGACCAAAGTCTGTGAGCAATGCAGGCTCAAATGAATTGCCCGCATGGAAGGCTGAACAACAATATGGTGTGCTTTGCAGTTTAGTTCTCAAACATCTTCAATTTCACACTCACTAGTTTATTACCGACTTTACGATGATGATAGTGAAGCTGCCTCGAAAACGTCGTTTGACGAGGGTGACCCTTCTTTGGGTCGCCTTGACATATTCACCATCCCCCCACCGCACACTGTCGCTTCCTTGAAAGGTCGTCTTGTTCATGTAGAAGGGGTATCGGGTAACGCTGTTCAGTTGCTTGAAAACGAGGATGGAGAGGTTACATTGAATGATGGCGATGCCATCGCCCTTCTCACTGACAATTTTCCGGGCTCAGAAGAGGATCAGCCGATAGTATTTACCTATACAAGGAACTCTCCTGATAAAACAACGGCACCGGAGATTCTTCCCTTCTCGAAACACCTTACATGCACATACGATTGGGGTGAGTAAAAATTGTGATTGAGAACTACCGTATTGCCTCTCATGTTGTTTAGCTGGCGCGTCTGTGGACGCCGCGTGGCACTCAATGGTGGTTGGAGAGATCTTTCAAACAGACGGAGTTCAGCGGACTGAGAAATGCAAAAATCATGGTGACTCTGTCTACCCTTGGAATTTTTATCTGTATTGACCTTTCTGCGATAGTAGGTAACTCTTGCTATGTCGGAATAAATAGTTCTGGAAAGAAGGCTTGTACATTCCCATTGTAATCCTTTGGTTTGAGGGGGCACTTTCTTACATGACATTTTCTGCAGTTGTTCTTTCGGGTGAGTTCCTGCCTTGTCTATGGATTGATTCGCTAGTTAATGTAGCCCCTAGGTTTTGTGACCTTACCCTGACACTTCCTTGCAACCCGTGTTTCTTCTTTCAATATAAATTTCAGTCTTTTGAAATTAGCCTGAGTTAGATCAATTTATTTTTCCACAGGCTGATCTTGGAAAGAAATAAAATGGCGCCTGTGAGGTTGCTGTGAGGTTAAAGAGCAACAATGTGTTGCTTATAACTCGAGAAAAACCCCACTGGCCCTGAGAGCTCCTCTACATACCATACACCGCCATGTGATTACACATTCCTCGGAGCCTGGATCGTGGCACAAGGCAAGTCTCTCGTAGACAGACTTCGATATTATGTGAAGTCGTACTTTGGTTCACGATAATATGAAGGCGTGGAATGCAGCGAATACTGTGTAGCACAACCGCCCGCTCCGAAACGCTCCTCCCTTTTTGTTTCTCTTGTCGCGCTTTCACGTTTGCTATTACTACCACGGGCCAGTACTTTACCATCCCCCACATAATCCACATGGACTCCACTGGATTCCACTGGATTCCACTGGACTTCACTACATACTGGCAATATCCACAAATCTGGACTCCACTGGACTCCCAGCACAAAACTGGACTCCACTGGACTCCACTGGACTGCAAGCACAAAACTGGACTGGACTGGACTGCAAATCACAAAACTGGACTGGACTGGACTCCACTGGACTCTCCCAACACAAAACTGGACTGGACTGGACTGGACTGGACTGCCACAGACCTAAGTTAATCCAGAATTCCTGAACTTAGACTTCAAAACAAAAAATAAAATTGAAGTATATTCATTAATTAAATTAATTAAATTTACATAGATTCTATGTTACAGAGGGGGGAGGGAGGGGAAAGGGAAAGGGAGGGGAGAGGGAAAGGGAAAGGGAAAGGGAGGGGAAAGGGAAAGGGAAAGGGAGGGGAAAGGGAAAGGGAGGGGAAAGGGAAAGGGAGGGGAAAGGGAAAGGGAGGGGAAAGGGAAAGGGAGGGGAAAGGGAAAGGGAGGGGGAAGAGAGGAATGAATAGAGGGGGGAGGGAGCAAGGAAAGGGAGGGGGGAGAGAGGAGCAAGGAAAGGGGGAGGGGGGAAAGGGGGAGAGACTGAAGGGGGGAGAGTGTGAAGGGGGGAGAGAGTGGAGGGGAGTGGGAGTGGTGAAGAGAGGAGGTAGTGATGGGGGGAGAGAGTGGAGGGGAAGGGTGATGCTGCTGGGCCCTCGTCGCCGTTCAGCGCTGGCGGGCGCTCGTGGTTTTCCGTGGGCGTATCGTTTTTCGGGTGTGATGGGGGCGGCGTTTTCGTCGGCGCTCGTTCGTCGTCGTCGTCGCGTGTCGTTGTCGTCGTGTGTCGTCGTCCCGGCGTGTCGTCGTTGTCGTTGTCGCGTGTCGTTGTCCCGGCGTGTAGTCGTCGTCGTCGTCGTGTGTCGTCCACCTCGCGTGTCGTCGTCGTTTTTGTGGGCGGGGGTCGTTTTTCATGGGCGGTGGCTGGTTTTCGTGTGACGTGGCAGCAGGCGGTGGTGGGCGGTGGCCGTTTTCCGTGGGCGCTCGTTTGTGCACGTCGTGTGGTCGGCTTCGCGTGTTGTCGTCATCGTGCTTGCGTGTCGTCGTGCTCGCGTTTCGTCGTCGTCGTCGCGTTTTGTCGTCGTCGTCGCGTTTCGTCGTGCTCGCGTGTCGTCGTTGTGCTCACGTGTCGTCGTTGTCGCCGTCCTCATGTGTTGGTGTAGTCGTCCTCATGTGCCGTGCATGGGTGGTTGCTGGCGTCGTGCCTGTCATGGTGAGAACGGAGGAACGGGGTGGTGGGGCATACGTACCCCTTGCCCATGACGTTGCCACGTCATGGGCGTTGTCCCTCGTCCTTGGTCCATCGTTCCGCGCTGGGGGTGTCGTTGTCGTTAGCGTGGGCGTCGTGTGCGTCGTTAGCATGGGCGTGGGCGTGGGTGTCGTGTGCGTCGTTAGCGTGGGCGTGGGCGTGGGCGTCGTCGGCGGCGTTGAGATGTGAATGGTGGTGGTGGTAGAAGGGAAAGGGATGGTCACGGCAATGTGACCATCCCACAAACAGGCGACGTGACGATATGGCACGCCCTCAAGTAAGTCACGTGACCTCACCCCGCAGACTGAACAAAATCATGAATCCTTATTGCAGCTATCACTGACCCACACTATATGTAAATTATAATCTTTCCATTCATTGATCAATAAAATTGTAGGTATAGCTTATCTGTTGTATAGTCCATTTTCGCTTTTTTAGGTATATTCATATATAATAATAATAATATACTGGAATGACTGGAATCCACTGGACTCCACTGGACACCACTGGACTCTGACTGGACTCATAGTCCACTGGACTGGGACTGGACTCAGGAAAGTGGCTGGCAGTCCAGTGGGAGTCCAGTGGACTGGACTGGACTGGACTGGACTGGACTCCAGTGGACTGGGCATTCTGCCAGCCAATCTGGCCTGGTAAGAGGGCCACTGGAATCCACTGGAGTCCACTGGAGTCCACTGGAGTCCATATGGATTACGTGGGGGAGGGTAAAGACCTCCCACGGGCCCACAGCCTTCCGACGAGTAGCCATGTTTACATGGCTCTCCCTATTCTTCATTTTCATTGTTGCTTCTTCTCGAAGCGGCTAAGGTGGCGCGTGTGCAAAAGCTTTCCTCCAAAAGCACAGTAAATTCTTTAGCGTTTATCTGGTGATATCCGTCGTTGCGCTAGAGCGTCACATCATACAAACTAAGGTCCCTCTACAAGGTACTGCACGAACTCAGGGTGAGTCCGCACAAACACAGCATAAGGTATTATCCGAACACGAGCCGTTCCCGAGGCATCTTTGAGCGTCCTTTGGACAACCTTCTTCCCGTCTGGTCGAACAACCACCCTGCCAGGCATATACTCCCTAAATTCCTCCACAAATTTTTGATCAAGGCTGCCTCCGGTCAGTTTCTTGCACAACACCTCCGTAAACACCTCGTAAGGCAATGTCACGGTGTCCTTCCACAGCCCCACGTGGCGGATAACCGTCCAGACAGCCGCAGGGTCCTTCCAATGATCAGCAATGCAGTGCAAGAGCGTCCTTGAGGTTCTTGCGTCCGGCCAAGCACGCAACGGTATGGGGCTCTGCCCCAGTTTATCCACGTACGATTTGAGCACGCCCCGGCAGTACGTCTTGACCCCCGCCACACTTCCTCCCTCCGAATACGCGAACTCGAATAACGTGCGGATAACCCTGTCAAGCCTCGATAACGGCAACTTGCCCTGGTCCAGCATATGCGCCAATATAGCGAACGTATACTCCCCAGAGATCCTGTCCTGCTCAACCGGAGATCTGGCCTTCGTTCCGGCAACACTCATGAGCGCAATGAAGACCTCGACATCACCTTCTCTCATCCTGGGTGCGTCCTGCTGCATGACGTCGTAAAATATCCTCGCCGCGAGTACCAAGTACCTCTTCGCCACTAACTCCCTCATAAAGCTTGTATGCTTCTTTGGGAAAAATTCCCTGACAGTTTGCATATACCGCAACACCGAGAAGATTGGCCCCTTCCTCCTCGGTGGTGGCGTCCACCCCGGCTCGTTCCGGAACTCGTGTAAGCAGTACGAGTGCTTGTGGGCGTGGTCGGCGAGTGCTGAGAAGGCGATCGAGGCTGATCTGAAATGAATGGGGTAACCATATTTCATCATCGTGTTAAGTGACACCCTGGTGCCCTCCAGGTCACCGAGGCGCAACATGGCATGGAGCTTGGCGTGAAGAGGGAGACGGAGGCGTTGGATAGGTGATTGAGGTCGGTTTGATGGTTTGGGGAGTTGTAGCAGACGGAGGTTGCTCAGGACGGAGGCGACTTCAGATCTAGCTTCATTGGGTGACTTGGTGGCTAGGACCTCGCGAATTTTGCGAGCTGCATCTCGGGAAATGGCAGCGGGGGTGGTAAGCCTAAGGCTAGCCGCTAGGCGACTGCGAGCTTCGAGCAAGGTGCTGCTGCTCGGCTTGAGGAGGTCCATATCGCGCGGTAGAGCTGCGAGCACCTACTCAGTAGTGTTTTGGTTGATCGCTGGAATGAGAAAAATCACTCACGTGTCAAAAATAGTAACAAATAAAACTCAACGCTACGAGCACTTGCCCAGCGCCTTTGAAAACCAGGGACGATGCTTACCAGCGTAAAGTCACGATTCGAGGAGATAAACAGGGTTCTGGGGGAAGCTTTAATTTATACCATAAAGAAGTTGTCAAAATTCGTTCAAGATTTGTACGGCTTGGTTACAACACGTTATCTAATTACAAAGTGTCAAAGGCAATAGACAAGAACTCCAAGTTGATGAGACGCAAAGCCTCTACGTTTAGATTCAAACCAGAGTCCCACTTCGAATCGTTGAACAGCCTCCCTTAATGATCAATCAGAGGCGTACAGCGGAAAAGAAGTCAATACATCGGTTGTTGGGCCGTGCTCGAGAGCCTTGTTCAGAGTGACAGAATGGTGACCGCGCTGATCAAACCCCTTGCAGCAGCCACGGAAAGGACAGCAGCAATCCAGTTTTTGCAGTTGAATTCGCCGTCTGGCTTGACAAAACTTGGACAAAACCGACGTTCCATGCGATAGACTCTAGTTCACGTCGCTGGTGAAGCGATAAAGTACCAATGTTCATGATTGCAAGGTCGCTAGACTGTTGCTGTTGGTCAAAGGACCAGAGCTTCCTGCAAGATTCTCTAGCAGTTCCAAGCCTCTCAACGCTGGGGTGCCTATGCCATCTTGGCCCCTAAATCTTGACATCGTCTGTCATCGGATGCTCAAGTGCCTATCTCGAGATCCGACGCCTGGCGCACAATAGACGACAAGAAACATGGGCTTATTTCTATCGTCGTCCGGGAAAGCATCGGCTAGGTCAACGGGCGGATTTGTTTGTCCTTCACAGCACGGTCGATATGAAGTTTATCGAGTGGGAGCAGGTAAAGATATGGGAAAGCAGAGAATCCAGAGGGAATTTTGTGAGGCAGGTTGTTGACAGAGCCTTTAAAAAAATTCGCGATGAAAGGTGCGGTGTTCGTCACAATAAACTTGAATGAGGGAGAGCAGGTCAAATCTGACGAGAGGTTTCTTGGCTGCCATCCGTTTCCGGGACAATTAGTTCTGGTTGAATCCTGGACATTAAGGCGGCAGACCTTCCCTTTGTTGACTAACTTCTACCGAGCGCAGGCTGCGCAGTCTGAAAAGGGGTACCTTGTTGCCCTTAGGATAGCTGCGGATCCAAACGCGACCGATGTCAGCGTGGCATTCTGTAGATAAACATCCTGAACAAACTGTATCAATGCCGTGACTCATGTCAAGGTCACTGACTTGGAGAACAGTCAGATCGAACCCCAAGACAAAGCGCTCTTGCTATTTCGACAGTCCAATAAGAAGGAAAGATTGGTCCTGGTGCGCAGAGGCAGCTAGCTCAATCGGAAACTTGGCACATGGTCAAAGAAGGGTACTGAAAACTTCGCCGAGACGGTTTGAATTGGACACCGTGAATATTGAGTGATGTCATAGAACGTTTATCGGAATCGTGGCAGTCCAAGGAACTCTTGAATACACGCCCTTGGGCATTCAGAACAAGAAAAACGCGTTCCACACAGGAAGTTGCCCCAATACAGATGAGAATAATCGTCATAAGCCCGTTTAGACTCCCATGTTTATGATTGACATTGAGGAATGAGGAGGGGATGCTTGTGCGGGACGCGCGTTCATCCGGCAAGTAGCTCCCAGGTTTTCCAACTTTTCGGGAGGAACGGGAGGGACCCGGAGCTGGAAGACACAACAGAGAAAGCGATGGATTTGGAAACGCCGCATGGGGAAAGTTTTTTGTGCAAGAATTTTCTAAGGAGCCGACCGGTATAGACCAGAAGCGAAAACGAAAATATCTTCTTGCGAAATATTGCTCCGGATTTTCGTTTCTGGCTTTTCGCTGCCGAACCGATTCCGGCCACTTTCAAATTCAAGATTTTTATAATTATGGTATTTATTTGTATTTATTTAGATTACTGGTCTGTCAACATGTCACGCAGGACACTCTCTTCTGCAACAAGCGCCCACCACGACCATCGACGATTGGTCACGAAGACCCACCACCACGTTCGAGGAACGGCGACGACCGCCCAGCAATGTCCACAGGCGCCCAGCACCACCATCGACGAACAGCGATGACGGCCCGCCACGACCTCTGACGATTGACCATCAGGACCATCGACAAGCGCCCACGGACAGCCACGAAGGCCCACCACCACCATCGACGGATGACGATGAGCGCCCATGAACGTCTACGGGGCCCACCACCAGAATCGACAAACAGCCACGAGGGCCCATCACCACCATCGACAACCACCACCAAGATCGACGGATGGCTACGACCGCCCACAACCACCATCAATAAATGGCTACGACACGAATTGCCACGAGGGCCCATCACCACGATCGATGAATGGCCACGTTGTTGAAGGGGAGAGGTGGTCCTCGCTCCTTCCTTCCCACTTCTACATAGTTTGTATATAGTACCCATGTAAATGTTTTTTTCGTAGATAAGTACATATACTGCCATTTACCCGAGTACAGAAGGACTTGTGAAAAAGAAAAAACGTTCAATGTTCAAGCCTGTGACACCGAGAAAGGCAAGGTCACATATTACAAGTTTTCGGATTACAAACAAAAAATATTGTATTGTTTGTAATTGTTGCCCTGCTATCAAAAAGCTCATTTAATTACAAAATGCAGCCGGTGCTCCGGCTAGATAACGGACTGGCATCTGACGTTATGTTATGTATGCCAGATTTTCGTTTTCGCTTCTGGTACATACTCGGAGCCGACGAGGATTTCCACTTGATGGGGATAGTTTTCTAATGTTCGGAAGTGAGTGGGAGCAGGTGGGAGCAAATGGTATGTTTTAGAACACCTGGCCAGTGATGTAGCGCAGCAGTGATGCGCCAGTCATTGACTAATAAAGCTAGTCAAGTCCAGAACCAGTTGAGAGTTCTTTGAAAAGTCGAGAGTCGTGTCGTGATTTTGTTACCATTTACTAAATAGGGCAGGATACGTTAGATAAGCAACGAACCTGTAGAGTCCGAATTTCGTTTCAGAGCCGCCACTTCAAATGCTTGTCATCTAAGCAGGCATCCAAGTAGTGCTTTAAATTTCTCGGATAAGGCGGGACGTTGACGAAACGGGCCCTGCATCGGTTGTTTTAGCATCCTGTTTCGCCCGGTTTTCACACAAATTTCTCAGGAACGTCGTCGGCAAGTTGGACGCGTACTCGTATGGACGGTTGATAAGGTATTTTCCAATTGGATTCATATAGCCATGACCACTATCATAAGGATGAGCTTGCTTCTTCACCCCACTTAACACTCACCATGTCCTGTCCCAGATGTATACAGGGCTTCATCCTACCCGGTGAGCCTACCGGTACCTTCCAACCCGACTTCCACAACGCCTACCTCGCGCCAGCGCCGAATGGGAAGCCTTCAAAGCGCGCCGTATTTCTCTTCACGGATATCTTTGGGTTGCCGCTACAGAATCCCATGATAATGGCGGACACTATTGCGAAGGAGCTGGGGTGCGATGTTTGGGTGCCCGACTACTTCAAGGGTGCGTCACTCTTTTGCCGTTTCAGTGAGAATATTGTGTTAACAATGAGTAGGCAAGCCCCCCATGCCCCTTACCACAATGATTCCTGATCGTGCTGGGGTCAAAGCATCGCTGTGGGACTGGGTCAAGTTCGTCGGGGTCTTGCTTCGAAACCTTCCTGCGCTTATCAATTCACGGCCTGCCGTGGTCGACAAGCGTCTCGCTTCTGTGGGTTCTACATGTCCGACTCGCAATCTAATTTTTACCTTTGTCTCTAGTTATTCGCGCTTTTAAAAGAGAAGAAAACATATGAAAAAATAGGTGCTGTTGGGTAAGCGGAACTCAGTTTTGCTTCTTAATTACCCCATTTGAAAGATCATCACAGGTACTGCTTCGGTGGAACGACCGCCGCACGCTTGGGCAGCACCAAATATTTAAACAGCATCGTGATCGTCCATCCGGGGCCTATAAGCGACAGCGTCCTCAAGTCTATTTCAATACCTACGGCATGGGCCTGTGCAGAAGGTTCGTCGGTTATCAGTCGTTTAAAGAAGATAGCACCCACACTTTGGTAACAGAGGATACATTCTGGCCTGAATCGGAACGCAATAAAGCAGAAGCAGTGTTCGCAGCAAGGAAGGATACTGACAAATTCGTGGATTACGAGTTCAAGGTCTACAAAGGTGCGCAATCGCTGGCGTTGGTGATTTTGGGGCTATCTTAAACCTTGACTATAGGAACGGCTCATGGCTTTGCTTCCCGGCCTAATCTGGAGCTCCCAGAAATAAAGGCTGCTCATGAGCAGGCTTTGGAGCAGGCTATTGCCTGGTTCCAGAAGACGCTGACTGTATCGGAGCCTGTTAAAGAAACTACGGAGGGTTAACAGAAGTATCTTATAACCGGAATATAGTGGATGTGGCGGCTAGGGCTTGATTTATTTTCTCTAGAAACATTCTGGGGTGATAGAGTCTTTCAGTGCGACGCAAACCCATGTGATGAGATGTTGTCTGGTTGAATATCGAAAGGGAGAACCTAAGAACGCAGAATGGCCGCGATAAACGATTCTTCGCTATACGGAGAGCGGATTTCCTGTTTGAGACGCTCGAAATCTCTAGAAATGGTCCTCAAGTTATTCCCCCTGTCCAGTGCGAAACGTCTTATTCCTTATAAACATTGACGAGCAGCATCTGAATCGTAGAAAATAGTTAGGAGATGGCTATGTCAGAGGGATTATGGTACGCACCAAGTTTTCCATAAAAAACCCGCAAATGCCTCTCGATGGCTGCATGGTTGGAAACGATAGCTTGTCTAATCTAAAATTGCAAATGACATACTGAAGACTGCGAACGAAATCACGACCGCAGAAAAAGCAGCATTCCACAACCACATTACATCTCCGTCCTCTTCCCCCTTCATATTCATCATCTCTTCCCCCCTTCTCCCAACCTCTTCCTTCTTCCCACCCTCCTCGAGCTCAAGCTCAACCTCCCTCACATTCTCCGTCGTTCCTCCTCCTGCCGCTTAACCCGCCTCTCCTCACCCAACGTCGCCAGTTCCGAAATACTCACGACCTTAAAAGGCCACGTCAACCAGTTCCCTCCGCTTCTCATACTGGGGAGGTACATGTCTTCAAGGAGTTGGTCCGTCGCTTGGGCCCATCTAACAAAATTTCGTGTTAGTGGTCGTGGTTGCGTTTACGATTGCTTTTAAATGGGAATATTAATGGAAATGATAGCCGTAACCGCGGGTGTAAAAAAAAAAAAAAATCAAAAAAATCAAGCAAAAGACACATACCCAAAATGCGGCGCCGCACAAGAGACGGGAAGAAGAAAAGGGAACAGGAGGGAAGGACGTACAGATTTTCGGGGAAAGGAATCCCATGTCCTTTTTACGATTTTGGAGCCTAGCCAGGTGGTGTGTAAGAACCGTCTGTTTTCGTTTTTTTTGTTTATTTAGCGCACCGATCAAGGGGTAAGAAAGAAGGATGAAAAACGGAAAAGAAGGGGACGTACTCGACAGGCGTGCGAAGCTCTATCGCGGGTGCTAGGATGGAGGTTAACCTGATTATTTCAGTGTGAGTATCCGAGGCGTTTTGTTCAGAAGCGGTGGTAGAAGGGGAAGATGTTCCGCTCAAAGGAGGAGGAGGGAGATAAAGGGAAAGACTCCCGTCAGGAAAGAGAGGAAATTTTTTTTGTTTGGAGGCCAGAGAGAGAAGGGGGGGAAATTCCGTCCAGCGGAGAAAAAAGGGTTTCATTCAGAGATAGGTCCCGGGGAGAAGCGAAATTCAAAAAAGAAAAAAAAAAAAAAACAGACGCACCGACTCTGCCTAACAGCCTTCGGCAAAGGCTTTGGCACCGCCAAAAACATATCCGCTTTTTCGTATATGATCGTTGTGGATATTCCTTGGTTTGCTAGGTACGCTGATATGCTAGTCCACGATTTTGTTTAAGGAAAAAAAAAACAAAAAACCCGGGAAAAAGGACGTACTCCTGAGCACTCTTACCCCCTCCCACTACAAGCACCCTTCGAGGTTTGTTGGAACGCCCGACGCGAACGCTCTGGACGATTTCGTCGAACCGCTTGAAAGACTCTGAAGAATGTATGACGGGTCCTTTGAACCCTGCACGGGAGGCGGAGAGTGGGGAGAGCGGGGGTGGGATGTTGGGTGTGCTGTTGCCCTGCGCGGTGGTTTTCGTTTACATAGTCAACACGACGGAAGGGAACGTACCCCCGTACACAAAACAACCCTCCGAACACACATCTCCTCCTTCATTCCCGTGCGTAGATCATGCGTTTTTATCACCCACCCCCCACCCTCCCCACGTCCTCGTCGAATTTGATCTACGGAACACCAGAACCGAATCTTACCCTCCAGAAAGGTACGTGCGAACGATTGGAGGTAGGTGGATACGTCTGTGCCTGTTAGTCGTCCGCCTGTTGAGTGGGCGTTGGGAGGGAGGGGGAGGGGGTGGTGCGAGAATTGGAATTGGGCGTGGATGCTGTGGGCATTGCTCGTCAGGGAGGAAGAGTGAAAGAGGAAGAGATGAACCTGTTGAGCATCATACTAGGATACACCCTCTCTTCCAACCACACACCCCCAACACCGCCATCGCGCGTGAGGACTCGGACGTTTGAGAAGCCGTCGCGGATGAGGATGTGGGCTGTTATTAAGCCTACGGGGCCTGCGCCTATTATTGCTATTGGTTCCGAGTGTACCTTTTGCTGAGGAGGGTCGGGACGCGGAGGATATGAAAAAGATGCATGTTTGAGTGGACTCTGATTTTGAGTGGGTGTCATGGGATCATACTACACGTCGTAGTAGAATAATGCTTCCGGTGTAAATTTGTGAAGCCCATTGCACTTCCGAGTGTATCGGTGCATGAACGTCATTGAGATTACGCTCACGTGGCACAGTGACAAAAGGTATGTCCACCAAAACCACTTTATTGTCCCGTGCATTGACCTTTTCTTCTTTATAAAGGCTGGCCCAGATCAACCAAACCACAACCATGTCTCCCCCACCTACACTAACACTCAACACCACCTCCGCGCACCTCCTCTCCCTCCTCTTCAGCCTAACCTACGTAGGATCCCTCTACATCTCCAAACACTCTCGTCTCTCCTTTTCTTCCTCTGCCACCACCACCACCAACAAAGGGGACCGAGCAAGAGCAAGAGAAAAAGAACACTCCGAAAGATGGCGAGACGACCCCGACGTCATACGTGCCCGTCTCTTCGCCGTATGCCTTGCCACCACGCTCTGTTGTACAATTTTTGGGGGGGTTGTGTGGTGTGGACTTGGGTTCTCATGGGGGGTGCGTTCTCCCTTTCCCCACCTCTCTTCTTCCAAGCTAACTACGAACAAAGGAACTCCCAAGCGCCCTATCCCAAACCCTCCTCCTCCTCGGGTTCTCCCTACCCATTTCTTCAGGAGAAATCTTGCCGCACCTAATAACACCAACCCTCTTCCTCGGACCCCTCTTCTCAGGCTACCTAGGCGGTCAACTCCCCTTTCAAAGGAACTGGGTGTGGGAGAACCATGTTACCAGGAGGTTTTGTACGCTTGTTGGGGTTAGGAATTATGTCGTTGTAAGTGTCGCTTTTTTTCTTTGCTTTCCTTTCGTTCCTACTTTGCTTTTATTTCCCTTCGATTCCCTTCTTTTCTTTCCTTTGTTTTCTTTCGAATCCATTCATTGCCTTCCATCCCCTTCTTTCCTGCCGTTCTTTCCTTTCCATCCCCTTCCTTCGATCCCCTTCTTTCTTTCGTTTCTTTCCGTTCCCTTCGTCCCCTTTTGCTTCTTCTTTCCGAGAAACGCAGACGCTGATATAACCAAAGGCCCCAATAACAGAAGAAATCGTATTCAGAGCATGCATCTTATCAATCTACCACCTCTCCGGCGCGTCGACGCTCAAGATGATCTTTTTGGCGCCGTTGGCTTTTGGGTTGGGTGCGTTCTCTTCTTTCTTATCTTATGCTAACTCACCCTCTACCGAGCAGCACACGTCCACCACGCATGGGACACCTACAACCGCTACGGCCGCACGCCCTCCGCAGCCAAACGCGCCCTATTCACATCCCGTTCGTCTCCCTCCTCTCAATCCCTTCCCCCTCTCCCTTTTCCCCCTCTTTCTCCCCCCTCTTTTCTTTTTTTATCCCAAACGCTAACGAAAACGCACAGTATTCCAACTAACATACACCTCCCTCTTCGGCTTCCACACCTCCTTTCTCTTCCTCCGCACCGGGTCCATCCTTCCGCCCATCAGCGCTCATATATTTTGTAATGTGATGGGGGTGCCGGATTTGGGGTGGGAGTTGGGTGTGTTTAGGAATAGGAGGGGGGGTGAGTTTCTTTCGTTTCGCTTTTTTTGTGAATGAAGGGAATGACTTGCGTTTGTAGCTATTATATCGGCTTATGTGGCTGGTGTAGTTGGGTTTGTGTATGTTCTTCCGAGGTGGACGGCGGGGAGCGCTGAGGGGAGTTTGTATTGGCGTTCTTGGTAGGAGGAGGCATTTGAAAGTGCAGACTGGTGAGAAGGTCGATCTAGGAAATTGATTCGGACGGGGAGTATTTGAGCGCATACGGACGCGTGGGTTCTGGGAGGTGTGCGTGCGGATTGCAGGACGCGGACGGCTCGGTTTTACCATTTATACCCCTCATTGATATCATATCTGCAGGCTGCAGCGATAGATAGATGCACGGGATTTATATTATAGTATACACGGGACTGCAGTGACATTCCGAGTCATTGGACCATATAGAACGAATATTAATAAGAACCTTCAATGGGATCCCAATTGAAAAAAAAAACTTAGCTGATGCAATTTTCGACCACTCGGTCCCCGAATCGAACGGGGCTTGAACGTAAATGCCATGCACAACCCGGCAGCAGCGTTCGAAAACACCCGCGAGCTGGAGATTCAAATATGTTCCGCGATAACCACTACGCTACCGAGTCTTGCAAAGATAATGCGTGTATTGTGATCAAGTACGTACCGGCGCTAACGTAGGACCCTGGAAATTCATGTTGAATCCCTGATCCAAAAATCGGTAAATTTGGCGATTTTCCTCCGGACAGAATTACCGAAAATTCCTCCGGATGCGGGATCAGACATAGATTTTTCCTAAAATTTATCCGGACATTACCTCAGGCATAGTCTACGCTGGGTTAATTTTTTTCTATGAAGCAAGGCTCCTGGCGCCCCCACGACATTAGATTTCGACGTAATACACAGTATCTAAGCTTCCTCGTCGTCCGTTCCTATGTCAATATCATTACTGGCCTTTTTCTTCCCACTCAACGCTTTAACCGCCGACTTTACATCCCCTCGATGCGAGTTAAGAATTTTGAATATTTCATGGTCTTGCTGGGGTATCGCTATCATCCCGCCATCGTTTGTTACAGTTGGTGAGTGGGTAAGGGCGCAGAGAAACTGTGACGACGAGAGGAGGCCAAATCTCGAGGTATAGAGAGCTTGCCTTTGAGATTTTGCACGAAACTGAAGCCCGTGCATGTGCTCGAATATCTGTACCGGCAAATTTGAAATTGCGGTGATAGTAGATGTATCGCTTGCCCAAGCATGTGTGGTACCCTTTCCGGCATTCGATACACTTTTCCTGTACCGATCCATTCCAGCTCGTCCAGGGGTGCTGGATTATCAAGATCAATGATGGTCATGTCTTCGTTCTTACGTTGGGTAGGACGTTGGATACAAGTAGTACACATTTTCAGTTCAATATCTTGTGTTAATTATTGAACCAAGGCACCGCATGTGCACTCAAAAAGATTCACTTTTGTCAAATTTTTATCCGGACTTAGATCAGGCCCCCCTTAGCGTAGCCAATTCTTATCCGGACATATAGCTCAAGGATTTTCTAAAATTTCTTCAATTTTCCTCCGGATAGGCCTGAGGCCTATCCGGATTTTTTTCAAAATTTCCTCCAGATACGGATCAGGGATTTGACATGAATTTCCAGGGTCCTGCTAACGTTGCCAGCTCTGGATCGGGAATGAAAATCTCAATACCGCAATTTTGAATGAATTGGGCGAAGGTTGCCTTTGACCCTCCCATATTCACAGGGGTGGGAGTTGGGAAGGTTAACTAGGGGGTGGAGCTCGTTGGGTGAGTTCTTTCGTCATCAATGTGTCGGTTTTGGATTGCGCACATTTGGCGTTGTTTTTGGATTGCAAATTTGGCATCGGTTTTGTGGCGCTTTTGGACTTTGTCCCCTTTGAAAAAAAAACCGATTCTGACCTCCCCTTGTTTTTGTAGCTATTATATAGGCGTATGTGGCTGGTGTGCTGGGGTTTGTGTATGTCGTTCCGCGATGGACAGCGGGGAGTGCCACTGCTTGGAGTGCTGAGGGGAGTTTGTACTGGAACTAGCAGGAGGGCGGGTATGAGGGTTAGTGTGGGAGGAGAGTAAGTGTGGGAGAAGGCATCAGTTGAAAGTGCGAACAGGTGAGGGCGGGAGTGTGCGATTTGTGGTTGGTCTAGGTGTGCGTAGGACGTGGACGGCTCGGTTTTACCAGATATTCCTCATTTATACCCCTCATTGATATCATATCATATCTGTAGCGATAGATAGATAGATGCACGGGATTTATTATACACCGGACTCTGACAAAAAAAAAAAAGGCTTTTCAGTCTCGAAGCACTTGCATCAAAATTTCAATACCGCAATTTTGAAACAATTGAACAAAGGTTGGAAAATTGGAGAGAATTTTACGCGACCCTCTTTTTCTCAAGATTACAATGCCGTCAATTGCTCCCATCATGGATTGCCCTGGCTGACTTGAAAGGAGAAAATGGACATACACTAGGTCAGCATTTGATGCAAGGGTCAGAAAACGGAAATACACACGGGCTGGGAGGTGAAAATGGACACAGACCAGGTCAGCATTTGATGTGAGAGTCAGGAAACAGAAATACGCACTCCCTGAGAGTCGAAGAATGGACACAGACCAGGTCAGCGTTTGATGCAAGGGTCAGGAAACGAAAATACGCACGGGCTGAGAGGCGAAAACGGACATATACCAGGTCAGTGTTTGATGCAAGAATCAGGAAACGGAAATACGCACGTCCTGAAAGGCGAAAATGGAAACAGGTCAGCGTTTTATGCAGGGTCAGGAAATGGAAATACACACGTTCTGAAAGGTAAAAATGAACACAGACCAGGTCAGTATTTGATGCAAGGGTCAGGAACGGAAATACGCACGAACTGGGAGCCAAAAATGGACAGAGGTCAGTGTTTTATGCGAGGGTCAGGAAATGGAAATACGCACGAACTGAGAGCCAAAAATGGACACAGAGGTCAGCGTTTTGTGCAAGGGTCAGAAACGGAAATACGCACAATCTGAGCGGCATAAATGGACACAAACCAGGTCAGCGTTTGATGCGAGGGTCAGGAAATGGAAATACGCACAACCTGAGAGGCGAAAATGGACACAAACCAGTTCAGTGTTTGATGCAAGGGTCAGGAAATGGAAATACGCACTGTCTGAGAGTCGAAAATGGACACAGACCAGGTCAGTGTTTGATGCGAGAGTCAGGAAACGGAAATACGCACTATCTGGGAGTCGAAAATGGACACAGACCAGGTCAGCGTTTGTGCGAGGGTCAGGAAACGGAAATACGCACAGCCTGAGAGGCGAAAATGGACACAGACCAGGTCAGCGTTTGATGCATGGGTCAGGAAATGGAAATACACACGTTCTGAGAGGCGAAAATGGACACAGACCAGGTCAGTGTTTGATGCGAGGGTCAGGAAATGGAAATACGCACGAACTGAGAGGCGAAAATGGACACAGACCAGGTCAGTGTTTGATGCGAGAGTCAGGAAATGGAAATACCCACGAACTGAGAGGCGAAAATGGACACAGACCAGGTCAGCGTTTTGTGCAAGGGTCAGGAAATGGAAATACGCACGGCCTGAGAGGCGAAAATGGACACAGACCAGGTCAGCGTTTGATGCAGGGTCAGGAAATGGAAATACGCACGAGCTGAGAGGCGAAAATGGACACAGACCAGGTCAGCGTTTGATGCGAGGGTCAGGAAATGGAAATACGCACTCCTGAGAGGCGAAAATGGACACAGACCAGTTCAGCGTTTGATGCAGGGTCAGGAAATGGAAATACGCACGCTCTGAGAGTCGAAAATGGACACAGACCAGGTCAGGGTTTGATGCAGGGTCAGGAAACGGAAATACGCACGTCTGAGAGGTCGAAAATGGACACAGACCAGGTCAGTGTTTGATGCGAGGGTCAGGAAATGGAAATACGCACGTCCTGAGAGGCGAAAATGGACACAGACCAGGTCAGGGTTTGATGCATGGGTCAGGAAACGGAAATACGCACGTACTGAGCGGCGAAAATGGACACAAACCAGGTCAGGGTTTGATGCGAGGGTCAGGAAATGGAAATACGCACGTCCTGAGAGTCGAAAATGGACACAGACCAGGTCAGTGTTTGATGCGAGGGTCAGGAAATGGAAATACGCACGTCCTGAGAGTCGAAAATGGACACAGACCAGGTCAGTGTTTGATGCATGGGTCAGGAAACGGAAATACCCATATCCTGAGGGTCGAAAATGGACACAGACCAGGTCAGGGTTTGAGGCGAGGGTCAGGAAACGGAAATACGCACATACTGAGAGGCGAAAATGGCCACAGACCAGGTCAGTGTTTGATGCACGGTCAGGTAACGGAAATACGCACAACCTGAGAGGCGAAAATGGACACAGACCAGGTCAGCGTTTGATGCAAGGGTCAGGACATGGAAGTGCGCACAATCTGAGAGGCAAAAATGGGCACAGACCAGGTCAACGTTAAAGAATCACGCACCTTCAACCCCAGCCCATCCACCGAAGTAAGTTTGTCAACGATTAGCATGATGTCTGCACGTTCGCACGCCACTCACAGCGTGATACTCCTTCAAGTGGAAGTTCACAAGGACCCCCATTTCTGTATCGTGTGAAATGCCATTCTCATCCTCTCGTGTGTTTCTGCTCCCCCACTCCCATGCACTCGTATACTTCCTATCTGCCTTTGAAATCTGGAACCTCCCGTCGCATCCTCGGCTTCAAGAATGTCAGTCCTTCAAACGCAACATGATATTAGTCAGTCTGACCACTCGATAAGCAAATCCCGGTCGAGCTCCCCACCACCATCATCCAAAATATTCCAGGTCTTACACCGTGGGCATTGATACCTCCGCGTTTGATTCTTTTTTTCCTGCACGAGAATAGCACGCATGACCAGTTGCATGCCCGATTCAACTTTCGGCCAGTCCGGTTGTCCATTGATCGGGACGATTTGATTGCCATGGTCGATGCAAAGGTCATACCTGTCCTGTTCTATGTAGCGCCGCTGAATTCGGGCTTCCATCTTATCCCCATCAAAGAAATGCGCAATAGTTTTGGTAAATAACTGTATAGAATTTTGGTAGGCGAAACGACAGTGCATGAAATCAACCTTGACACTTACCTCATAAGACTTTGCACAATCCATAGACACTTCATACCTTTTCCCTGTCGCATCAATCAGGACAATGCCTGTTATTGCGCTTCGCCGAAGTTGCAATGTCGATGCAAGTGGAAGGAACATCTCTAAATTAGCTTCAATACGCTGCGCAGCGTTTTCAACGCGCATGATACCCAGCGTCTGGGGGATGGTGTTTTATGAACGCAGTAAACTAGACATCTCATTGCTGGAATCACTCACGTTATAGCGCATCAGGTAGTGATCGATATCTCGGCAGCATTCATTGATCCGTTGCGCAACACTTGCATATCGGAACGTGTTCTTGGCCTGCAAGCTCTTCAGCGTGGCCAACGTCGCATTCAATTTCCTAGGATTCGTTTTTACTATCAGCGAGATTGATTATTAGCCGGTGCAGCTCTACCAAGTTAAATCATCCCGAAGTCTGGTAATGCCCTGGTCGGTACCTGTGACCACATAGATATGATTGCCCAACCAGCGAAGTTTTTCTTCCAGTTTCCTGATGTCTTTCCGATTCTGAGTAATTTGCTGGGTTTTTACAGTGTTTTAATTTCCGGCGGTTGAAGACGTTCAAGAGAAATCAGAACTTACATCAGCGGCTTTTAAAATCTCTAATAAGCCATCAACGGCTGCCTTCAAGGGCGATCCAGCGAGTGGAATCGCCCCAAAAATCGGTGCCGCAAGTGTGAGCGCTGTTTTGACGCCCTCTTGCACTCGAAGGCGACAAGAATCGTCACTGGAGGGATCAGCAGTCGTTATGACCGGTCTTTGAGCAGCAGCAGCATAGTGTTGAGACCCAATCGTCAACATGGGAAATGAATTTGACAGAGCAGTGGCGATTGTCCAGCTCGAGTTTTCATCGATGGGCTTCCGCTTTCGAAGAACAGCCAATACCCTGCCCAACGTAGAGTTTGGCGACGAAGTCGATTTAGCAGCCATCTGGACAGTGGGCACTATCGGTGATAAGTAATTACAGGTTAAAAAGTGCGTTGAGGCCGAAGAATGGTCGAGGAATTTGGGAGGAAGGCACGAGGCGCCCACGCTTGGATCACTCGAAATCAACGTGAGAACGGTTCGTTGAGGTGTGTAGTGAATGACACTCGAAATGTGACTGGAAATCACCATTAGTATGAGCGCTCCACTTTCCAGCCTACGATGACACCCCTCAGCAGACGGACGACCTCAGCATCGATCCAGCCAGCCTCCCCCACTCTCACGCCGGCTATATCTTATTAGGGTAACCGTAGGGACAGATATTGTGTTCGTAGTAAAACACTTGTGCTATGTTAACAACCCCGGGCAAAAGGTATGTCCACCCAAGGGGGGAGCGGGATTTGAATCTGCCATATGGGGTCGGTTGGTTAGTCCGGCTGCCAGGCTGTTAAAAATTTTCTATTTTAAGTACCAATTTTGGGTAATTTACAGGCTGGGTGAGCTCAGATTGGACTGGTGCACTTTCTGAGGTGTTTTGCATGCTGTCCTCACTTACCAAGTGGGATATTTCCTAGGATGACCCTTTCAGAAGTATTAAGTGCTATTTACACTTAGAATTTCTAAGAAACCTGGTATACAATATGATTTGACAATATTTGAGACAGCAAAATCATTATCTGGCAACATTGTGAGGCAAAAGTCCCTTCATGCACAATTGGTCTTCAAACCTACTACAAGTGACACAAAGGAAGTAAGCAATGCACTGAGAACAAGCAGGAGAGCAAGAGAGAGAGAAAAGTGCAGAAAAGCAAGGAAGGCAAACAACAACGCAAAAGTTCTTCACTGCAGGAAGCACGTACACCTGCACCATCAGTATCTACAGCCCAGCTCCTTGTGAACCCTATCAGACTCCATGCATCAACCACAACATGCACCTTGGGTTTGAGGAAGGGCTAGCAAATGAAGGTGTGCAGTGTAGATAAGATGGTGGCTAACACGACACCCAAAAAATGCCCAAAACATGTGGTCTATTTATAGATTCTACCTATATATGGAAGGTTATTCACACACCTGGTTGGTTAGTCCAGCCATAGTGGTGTTATGAAAAAAATCAACATGATATATTAAATTAAAATTGTGCTCCCCCCTTGTGTCCACCAGCCTACTTATTGCCCTGTCCACAGTGCCTCCTCTTCGTCAAGTACATAGCCAGCTGGCCATCTAAAGGTCTAAACGCCCTCTAACCGGATCCACCAAGTTACAATGTCCCCACAACTCAGTTACTCGCCCTCAGCACATCAACAGCCCACCTCCTCAGGCTCTCCCTCCTCTTCAGTTTAACCTAGATAGGCTCTCTCTACATCTCTAAACATTCCTGCCTCTCTTTCTCCTCACCACCAGTACTCATTCAAACAAAGAGGAATGGCAGAACACCAACAATCAATGAGAAAGAGAAAAGGAACAACCCGAACGATGGAGGGACGAGTCGACCCAGACGTCATCCGCGCCCGTCTCCTAGCCGTCCTCTGCGCCACGACGGTCTGTTGTTCTGTTTTCGTGGGCGTTGTCTGGGCTGGTCATGGATTTCGACGGGCCGTGCGTTTTTCCCACCTCTTCCAAGTTGTTCCCTGCCACGAAGCTAACAAACGCCTCCACAAAGACACTCCTAAACGCCCTCTCACAAACCCTCCTCCTCCTCGGCTTCCCCCTACCCTCCTTCTCCCTAAACCTAAACCTGAAGCTAGAAGAGATCCTACCGCATTGAGTAACACCAACCCTCTTCCTCGGACCCCTCTTCTCAGGCGACCTAGGCGGTCAACTCCCGTTCCAGAGGAACTGGGTGTGGGAGAACCATGTTACGAGGAGGTTTTGTACGCTTGTTGGGGTTAGGAATTATGTTGTTGTGAGTGTCGCTTTCTTTTCTTTTGATTCTTTCGTTCTTTCTTTTCTTTCGTTCCTTTCCGTCGCTTTCGTTTCGTTCCTTTTTCTTTGCTTTCGTTTCGTTTCGTTCCTTCTTTCCTTTCCTTCTTTCGATTCCCTTCCTTTCCTTCCTCCCATTCCTTTCTTTCCTTTCCCTTTCGATTCCTTCCTTTCCTCCCCTTCCGTCCCCTTCCTTTCCTTCCCTTCCCCTTCCTTCTTTGCATTTCAACAAAAGCTAACAAAAAAAGGCCCCAATAACAGAAGAAATCGTATTCAGAGCATGCATCTTATCAGTCTACCACCTCTCCGGCGCCTCAACGCTCAAAATGATCTTTTTGGCGCCGTTGGCTTTTGGGTTGGGTGCGCCTCTTCTTTCTTCTCTTTCCTTTTCTTTCGTCCTAATAGACACACACTCGCAGCACACGTCCACCACGCATGGGACACCTACAACCGCTACGGCCGCACACCCTCCGCAGCTAAACGCGCCCTGTTCACTTCCCGTTCCTCTTCCTTTTTCCCATTCTTCCCTCTTTTCCCTTCTCTTTTGTCCCCTCTCCTTTCCCTTGCCCTTCCTGTTTCCCTCCATCCTCCCCTTTTCTCCCTCCCTCCTCTCCCTTGCCTTTCTTCCCCCTCTTCTTCCATTTCATCTTCCACCCTTCGTTGACAGCGCTAACGAAAACGCACAGTATTCCAACTAACATACACCTCCGTCTTCGGCTTCCACACCTCCTACCTCTTCCTCCGCATGTCGTCCATCCTTCCACCTATTTCTGCACATGTATTTTGTAATGTGATGGGGGTGCCGGATTTGGGGTGGGAGTTGGGGAGGTTTAGGGATAGGAGGGGGGGTGAGTTTCTTTGCTTTTTGGCTTTCAAAGTTTCTGTGGTGGTGTGAATGATGAGGCTTTTTTGGCGTCGTTTTTTGGACTTTCGTCACCTTTGAAAAAAAAAACTGGTTCTGACCTCCCCTTGTGCTTGTAGCTATTATATCAGCCTACGTGGCTGGTGTAGTTGGGTTTGTGTATGTTCTTCCGAGCTGGACGGCGGGGAGTGCTGAGGGGAGTTTGTATTGGCGTTAGGAGGGCGGGTATAAGGGTTGTGTCGGAGATGCGGATGGGTGAGCTCGAGGTCGATCTGGGAAAGTGACGCGACGGGGAGTTTTCGAGCGCATACGGACGCATAGGTTCTGGGAGGTGTGCGTGTGGATTGCAGGACGCGTCGGACGGCTCAATTTATCCAATTTATACCCCTCATCAATTGAATTATATCTGCAGGCTGCAGCGATAGATAGATGCACGGGATTTATATTATAGCATACACGGGACTACAGTGACATTCCGAGCCATTGGACCATATAAAACGAATAAAACAGTTACTTTTTCAAAAAAAAACTTAGCTAACTTGAATGCAATTTATCGATATCAACCACTTGGTCCCTGATTCGAACAGGGCTTGAACGTAAATGCCATCATAGCCCAGCAGCCGTGTGTGTGAGCGAGAGCACACACATACAGGTCCAGCAATATGATGGATATCAATTTCGCTCTGCGATAACCACTACGCCGCCGAGTCTTGCGAAGATAATGCGCGTATTGTGATCAAGTACATGCCGGCGCTAAATTGAAGTGGACAGCTGCACGTTTTTTACTCTGGATCGGGCATAAAAGTTTCCATACCGCCATTTTGGAAGAATCGGATTGAATGAAGGTCGCCTTGAACCCACCCCATTTTCACTCCATTCACAGTCGCAAGGTCACGGTCGTGCATCTCCGTTTCTTTTATTCTTTCTCATCAGTCTCTCTCCTCTTTTTCCAGTCATGAATCCCCTCAATGAGCCCGACGATTATACGCCTACCGTAGAGATAGCGAGGTGTTCAAGGGCATAGGTGGCTAACGTAGAGAATTAAGTCGGCGAGGTACCGTGGCGTATACTACTAGGCGTGAGCAGTGGCATGAGGAGGCGAACATCGAAACGGCGAGAAATTGAGGATTTCGGTGTTCGCGCCAGTCAGCAGAGGTGGTGGTGTTGGTGGTGGTGAAAATTAAGAGCTCTACAGATTATTTATAGCCGTGGATCACGAAGTCTTTTTTTTTTTTTCAGTGAACAGAGCTATCCTTGATAAGAAAGCAACAGTCCTATCTTCAGCGTACAAGTTCTTTTTGTAGAAGGACAAGGGATTTCACGTTCCTAGAATCGGCAATGTGAGCGTCAGTTAATTACATTTAGTCAGTCCAAGTGTCATTTTGTCGCAGACTTCCATGTAGAATATTTCATATCGTGGCGGTGGGCGAAGAACCTGGTAACACACCACTGCCCCGCATAGCCCTTGCTGTATCTTCACAAACTAGCAAAATTGAATACAAAAACTTGAGTCTGACTACATACAACCACCTGACCAGACCCTTCATCGAAGGCAGAAGTTCGTTCCATCCAATCATCCTCACCCAACTTTGTCGTAAGGGTATTTGGAGGACTGAGGAGAGTGTCGTCTGGCCATGAATAATCCAGCATGTGGAGGAGAGATGCCCTGCCAAACTCAATCATGTATGGTCCATACATGATTGCACTATTATAGGAAAAAACAAAATTGTGTTCCATTTCTACGCCCAATTCCATTAACCTGAGAACCTTGGGCTCTTGGTCAAGATGAGCATTGCCTGGAATAATGAGACCGTGAACGGCATCCATTGTGGTGAAAACAAGCCTCAACGTGTTCGTATCTGGGCAAAGATATGTGTGAGAGAGGCTATCTGGATCAAGTGACGGTATTATGGACTTCCAGGTAGGCGAGGGATACATGGGCCATCTAGGAAAGCCATCAGGAGGTATACTTGTAGTCGCTTCAAAAGGTGAAGTATCATATAGTCTGATATCGCCCATCGTCAGAACCAATAACCTATCTCCTGGGAGTAGTTGCACTTGATCCTGATTTATGTGATTAGCACGAAAAAAAGACAATGAACATGCTCACTGGTGTCCATGGGTAATACATGATCGTCCTCGGATACGTTAAGGATGTGTGATATGATTGATTGTGGATGCCGGCCATGGCCCAGTCAACTAACGCAACATAACAAGGTACATCCCACTGTCCAATTGTTGCAACTCCAAAGGCGATGAACTTCCCAAGCAAGGAAAAAGAGCATAAAAAACCGCAATTTTCGCGATGGAAACAGGACAGGAGCGTGGTGGAATAGGGAAAGGAGCATTCCCACAGGAGAGCACATGACCATTAGATTAGTCATCAGGTAGTGTACACGAGCATGTAGAGAGGGCAATCCATCATCATTCCACCAGGCATCTGCATCGTAGGAAGCACTAGAGCCCATTCCACCTGGTGATGAGTGCGTGATTCGTACTTTTACATGCGCATATCTCTCGTCTTAAAACGTCCGTCCTCATATCACCGTCTTAAATCCACCATCCCACGTCATACGTCACACCGTCCCACGTCATACGTCACACCGTCAACGCCACCACGTCCAACGTCCAGCGTCTAACGGCTTTTCATCTCCGAAATCAACTCGGCTGCAAACGTGTTTCCAACGTTTCACCAAGCTCATCGTGTACCCCGCACCCATAAAGCAAGCTGGCACCCAACAATACCTGGATAACTCAGCCAAGAGTCAACGGCAGATTCGTGGCTAGAGACAGAGCCGCTACCATTACACCCTCATCTAATACAACCTCGGGTACATCCACGCCATCTACTGAAAGTTCGCTCACGCTTTCGGACATACTAGAGCCTGCCTCTCCGTTCGAGGATCTCTTTGGATCAATGTCAAGTCCTCAACTAGGAGCCCCACAACAAACCGCACAGCTCAGCCCCGTTAAACCACCGCAGGACCTTCCACCCATTATGTCTGCCCCAGTCACCCTACGCAGCTTCAGCGGCGAAACAGACGACGATGTCCAGCCAGGCGAGTTTCTGAAGACCTTCCGCTGCTTCACAACGTCCGCCCGCATCACGGACGACGACCTCATCATCACATCCTTCGGAGACCACCTCAAGTACGGGTCCCCTGCAGACGACTGGTTCACAGAGCTAACCAGCACGAAGCAGACGTGGAAAGAGGTAGAAACAGTGTTTTTGCAATGCTTTCCGCCCGTCGAGAAGGCTAAAAGGACGGAAACCAAGTTAGAGAGGGAGTTGTGTGAATTAAGGTTGAAGACAGAGGATTTGGGGAAGAAGGAGAAATACGCAGGCGAAGAAGTCTACACCCACGTCATATTCGCAGAAAAGGCTCTCAGCCTTGCAAAACAAGCCAAGATCAGCACGGGGTCGAATTCGATCTGGAAGGTCAGAGACGAGCTACCCGACATTATACGCCAGAAGGTCAAGGAAACGTACCCAACCTGGACCGAATTTTGTGCAGCGATCAAAGGGGTAGAAATGGCTCATATACGAGATGGGGTGAAGAAGTACCAGAAGGAGAAGGAGGAGAAGGAGAAAACGGAGGCGGCTATAGCAAGCCTACAACGCTTACACCTGCAGGGACAACGTCGCCCCCCAGCCGCACCCACATCCTCAGTATCAAACGTCAGTCAAACCCAGCAGTCATCAACCTTGGGAGGTCAATGTAACAACACGCCACAATCCAATTCAACCAACACAAATGCATACATGGGCCCGTCAAGTGGCCAAGGCAACCTGCCCCACCCAGCTCCCTCGCCAATCACTGAAGCTGATCGAAGCGCGTTAATCTGCAGCTTGGCCCTCTACCCCATGCAACCCAACACCGAAGCAGGCATCGCAGCATGGCACGCCCAACTCAGGGAATGGAAGGCGAAGAATGGCGAAACTGCTGAGGTTACAGTAAACATGGGGTTTCCACTACAACCAGGGGGTGAGGCCCCTGGTTCAGGGGAGTGCTACAGATGCGGAAGGGGAGGACATCGCCGCATCGACATGCGCTGCACGACTGACCAAATCAACAACAAGGAGCGCACGTTCCGCACGATATGTGGCCGCATCCTTCGAGCTGCGCCTACCTCTTGAGTCAACTTCGTCAGCGATGCAGACGATGAATTCAGCTGGCTCAACTATCAAGCCTTCAAGCCCGCGCCGAGCCCGGGAAATGGGGAAGGGCCGCCTGCATAAGTGACGAGCGGGCGGCCCCGATTTCAGTGAGACTTACAGGAGTCGACCGCCCCAGCAGTCAGAACGGTTTCAATGATGTATATAACGCATGCGAGAATTCATCAGTCATTGATTTGTACGCTGTTGGGGATGAGGATAAGACATGGGATACACTACGACAAAAGGGGCCGCCATTCATGCATTGGTTGGTGTTGCACGGGCCCCAAGGCGAGAAAGTTAGGGTTAAGGCTCTTTTCGACGGGGGAGCCATGTGCACCTCCTTTTTCATGAAAGCTCAACACCGACTTTGTGGCCAAACTAAACCATCCAATCGACGCTTACGCATGGCGAATGGGGCTATCGTACAGTCGAAAGCTGTATGGAATGGAGTGCTGGAGTTAGAAGGAATCCAGGCGGAAGCGGAATTCGAAATCTTCGACAGCGGAGGCAGTTGGGAGTTTCTTTTTGGGAAACCGTTGCTACATCGCTTCAGGGCGGTCCATGACTTCGACACGGATACAGTGACCATCCGATCTGCACACGAGTCAATCACGCTGCACAATTTCGCTGGAGGAAATACCCCATCAGCACCAACAGGCGTTAGCCTCACATTAGATGTGGAACAGCAGGAAATCTCAGCAGGGGGCTCTTCGGGCGTGAATCCCCCTCCGAGGCAAGTCTCATACACAGACATTGTGACACCTTTAGTTCAGTATGACGAGTCGAATCCTTTCTTAGGTTTTGCAGGTGATACATTGGAAACAGCGGACGAGAGCGCCATGTGCACAGACGAAGAGCATGCATGGGATGAAGA